ATGTAAGTAGTTAAGTTGTTCATGTTCATAATGCGGTTTATTAAATTCAGGAGTTGGATGGGCAGTTGTGTTGATTTCATTTTATGTGGCGTTCTACTACAACGTAATCATTGGCTGGTCGATCTTTTACCTTATTTCCTCGTTCTCGGCTGAGCTTCCATGGATTGGTTGTAACCACAAGTGGAACACTGACTACTGTTACAATGGCACAGCCGGCTATGTGGACATTGAAGGAGAAAAAGTATGGATAAATGCATCGACTGGTATTTCATCATCGAAAGAATTCTGGGAGTAAGTGAAAAATCACATTTGTTTCTACAATGGTTCAGTACAGTATTATGATAAATGACGGTCTCTGTGACACGTGTCAAGTGCATTGTATCGTTGCACGAGGCATCCCTGCATTTTCATTCTTTGAAAGCGAGCATAGAAGTGAAAACGCAAGAAATCAAGTATAATTTCAATTACAATGAATGCATTTTTCAAAAAATTTTAATCATAAATGGCAGTGACCGGATTGTCATTTTAAAAGTAACACTGATATAATAAGTTTATTTGTAACCTAACACATATAATTAGCCAGTAGAGCGTTATTCGAGTTTTGGGAGCAGAGCAGGGACAAGTCAAATCTTTTGATAAGCTAAAGGTGTTATTTTTAATTACAGACGGAAGGCTTTGCAGATACATAAAAGTGAAGGAATAGGTGATCTAGGTGGCTTAAACTGGCAGATGGTTTTATGCTTTGCTACTGCTCTCGTTATTGTGTACTTCACAGTCTGGAAAGGTGTAAAGACCTCAGGAAAAGTAAAAAGTAGAGCATTATAATAAAAGGCTGTGGGGTACAGCCGAGTGGGATATGTGTACTTTTTAATTTCAAGAGGGAGAAGCTATTGGAAATGCACATTAGATGTGTATTGATTGATTGATTGATTGATTGATCGATCGATCGATCGATCGATCGACTGACTGACTGACTGACTGACTGATCGATCGATTGATTGATTTAAATAATTCCTTGAGATAAACCAAATATTACTCACTGTTTTTTGTTGTTGACAGTTTCGCCTTGCTATCAGGCAGGCTTCGTCAGAATCTGTGAAGGGTTTCTACCGATGCTCGTTGGTAGCGTGCCGGTCGATTTAAGAATTTATATATTGATTGATTCTTTCATGCTTCAACTAACAAATATTATTTAGATAAATAACCAAATGTGTTTGAATTAAAATAGGTGGTCTATGTAACAGCTACAATGCCGTATATTGTCCTGTTTGTTCTCCTAATCCGTGGAGTCACTTTACCGGGTGCAAAAGAAGGAATCAAATATTATGTAGAACCCGACTTCAAAAGACTACAAACCTCACAGGTGTGTCCAAAATTAAGTGTGTTCCAAATGATCTATTGTTCATGTCAAACAAAAATGTTTTGTTGTTCTTAACAATGGTAATAGATAATATAGACCTATTTTATGGTTCACTATGGAGTCTCCAACGTTTATAATGAAGTTTATAAAAGTGTTGATGGGCATGATAGAACAGGAATAGGCCTATTGAATATCATGAACAACAATCCCGGAATTAAGTTGTCTTTATGTCTATGGTTCTACATGTTTTATTAGATTGTATTTTAATGGGGAATAATTGAGAAAA